GCGCGCGAGTTGAATGGCGCGCGATTTGAATGTACTTCAATTACTTCAATGTACAGAATATTCCTCCGGCGGGGCAATCCGCGTATTTGCAAATCCGTGAATGCTAAACCCGCGTATGTGAAGGGCCGACTGTATATATATATAGTAGTATATATATATATATATATATATATATATATATATATATATATATATATATATATATATATATATATATATATATATATATATATATATATATATATATATATATATATATATATATATCTCTCTCTTGATAAAATCACACGGGAAAATGGAAACAACGGAGTACCTTAGCTTTCGTCTTTATTCAAGACATCTTCAGAGGCAATAAATAGCCTCCTATCTCCTCTCCATCTGTTACCCTCTGTTGTGAGAGAGAAGGTCTTGGTAAATAACTTTTGTTTGTTTATTTTCATTGTTTGTCTAATTTATCATGTTGTATCAAAGTAATATTACTAAAAGTTTTAGGCAGCTACCAAACAGGGAGATTCTACTGCCTGGGAAGATATTGGAAGCACAATGTACAGTATTGTCTAATGGTAGACCCTACCAGCACTTCCGTATGGCATCACGAAAATTGTGACCAAGTCTTAGGTTGCTGATTTATCTTTGACTCATTTACACACAATTGCAGAGTTTCAATTGTTTCTCTTCCTTTGACAACACAACATACATACAATATAATGTTTCTCACCTTTGATCTTTTTTCCATTTATTTATGGTTGGTTATTTAAAATAATGCCAATTCACTTCAAGTATTGGCATGAAATTTTACCGGCTGGTGTACACTAGTGACTCACTTAAGCGGCAGTTATTTAATTGGAACTAATGTTGGTGTGAGTAAAATATTTCCATTTACTTGAAATAGATTTGCCGATTTATTTGTTTATTTATTTATTTATAATATACTGTAATACATTAAACACACTGCAAGTATTTTCTTTAATTTATATACTTGTTTCGCGAAAAAGGGAGGCTACCATTATACCTGGTAGGTGAAGTTGACCAGACATTTATGGTGATCATTAATGACCAAACTCCGAATCCATGACGTGACTTCTGTTAATCATTCTCATCCTAAATTTACCACTGTCGGTAGTTTCAAGAATTAACGCAGTGATTTACTGAATATTCTTTGTAAAAAAAATAAATTTTAAATTAATTATTTATAGGAGATAAGTATTATGATCATTAAATATACAGATATGCATTACTGACCACCTCCGAACACAAAGACGGCTAAAAATAGCCACAGGCTGTCACAGTCAAGGTCACTTTCCCTTTCTTGTCACTGGCAAATGGTGGGGGGGTGGGTGATGATAGCAGCTGTGTTTATTACCGGGGTATATTGTTCTTTTACGGTTTGTTAGACTGGTTTATAATACATTTTTATTTTTTTAATATACCGGTAATTTTCATTTTAATCCAGCTTCCCAAACGTAAGTTTCAGTATAAAATAATTAATGGTAGGACTTTGTGAGTGGTTTACCATGTTTCCTTCACCACTCTTGACACGCTAAATCGCAATATTTAAGAGGTAAGAAATTTATCTCTGGTGCTTAAGACGACCCCCTAACTTTGGGCTGATTTTTTTGTTCAAATTCCGTCTTGTAGGCCGAGATATACGGTAGTATAAACTTCTTGATATTTACTAAAATGGTTAGGAATTTAAGCCCTAGAACCGATTACTTTATTGGCGGACTAATACTACAGCTGGTGGACCGCCAAATGCAAGCGAAAACATGTTCAGGTCGGCTCGTAAGAAACTCGTTAATCGAGGGATTGCTCGTTAACTGAAGTTAAGAATCTTATGGAAGGTAACTCGTTAACCGAGGCGCTCGTTAACCGAGGGACCACTGTATGTATGTATGTATGTATGTATGTATGTATGTATGTATGTATGTATGTATGTATGTATGTATGTATGTATGTATGTATGTATGTATGTATGTATGTATGTATGTATAGTATGTATGTATGTATGTATGTATATATATATATATATATATATATATATATATATATATATATATATATATATATATATATATATATATATATATATATATATATATATATATATATATATATATATATATATATATATATATATATATATATATATGTGTGTGTATACAGTACACACACACCCACCCACACACATACAAACATATATGCACACATGCTTGCCTTGGTGAATAAATTTGATTACAATACTTGTCTGAGCTTTCCCTATGCTTTGAATTTGTTAAGAAAGTCTGCTTTTACTTTCATGTGTGAAAAACCTCTCTAATTCTCAGTTAAATTTCCCAGGTGTACTTTTATACTGAATGAAAAAGGTGAAGTGGAAAAGTTAAGCATAGAGGACCAGAAAAGGCTGGAGAGGGATGTGATTAATCCAATGGCATCAGATGGTCTGCGCACCATTGGCATTGCCTACAGGGACTTTGTTCCCTTTGATGCCAACATGAATCAGGTGAGAGGAGATACAGTACGTACTTGGGAACACATTCTGATACCACGATGGAATCTAGTGCTGTACTACATAACTTTCTTGTGTTATTTTTCATATCTATTTTATTCCTAAATGTCTATGATAAAGACCTACAGTACTGTACTTATATTCATTGGGAATATAAAATTGACCTACGGTAATGATAACGACAGGTCATTGATTACAGTAAACTTAGCTCTCAGTAAGGATATACTGTACTTTTAGTGTACTGTAATTAGTAGACTCAGCCAGTAAGTTCTGGTATTGGGAACACTGTCCCCCAAATGACCATATGAGCAATTGGTGTATGTAGGTACTTTCAGTAAAGCACTAGACTTCGCACAGCAGCTGACAGTGTTTACAAGAGAGAGTCAAACAACACACTGAGTTTACATAAAAGTTAAGCTTTTAAACACATATTTCTTCTAAGCTCATTATGTTAAACTACAGTACAGTGGGGTATGCTATAACGAATCTAATTGGTTCTAGAACCTTGTTCGTTATAGCATTCGTTCGTTATAGGATTAATCCGTTCCAGGCCCCCAAATACAACCACTTAACACTGAAAAATATAATATAAAATTGTAAAAATTGTAAAAAGTGCATAAATATGCATCTAAACCCCTGAAATGAAGAATATCATTAATACTTATAATACAAAAACAATAAATTAGTAAAAAAAAAAAAAAAAAAAATTTTTTTTAAATAATGTTCGTTGTAGGAGTTTCGTTCATTATAGCATTCTCAATTCTATAGGTAAAACCGTTCGTTATAGGAATATTCGTAGTAGGATCCGTTTGTTATAGCATACCCCACTGTATTAATATATTTCTGAAAATACAATTTTCAATTTAGATTTATATACTCAAATAAAAGGGACATATCTTTGTAATGGGAGTATTTGTTCGTCTTAACAGATGAAGTGCTTGTGCTGTACTGTCACTCCAGCTTAAATAAGTTACTGGTGCAAATTGTATAGTACTGTACAGTTTACCAGGTATATTTTTAAATAACTTAATAGCTGCTGGGTTTGTACTGAAACTATTAATGTATAAAAAAAAAATTAAGTGCAGGAGGGAATATTAGTACAGCTCCTCCCCGACTTACAACCTACTCTACTTACGACCACCCAGACATACGATCGCCTCAGTCGTACCAAAATTTTGTCAAATTACTTATTTTTGAGTCCCAACGTCAGTGATTGTGCTGTGTACTTACAATTTTTGTTTGTAATTCACTTCAACATGGCTGGCAAGCTTAAAAGCGAGAGTTTTGTGGTGCTGAGAAGAAAAAGAGACACCCATTTTAGATTTATGTATTATTTAAGCATTTTCAACTTACTACCATTTCGACTTACGACCTGGATTTGGGTCCCTAACCCAGTCATAAGTCGGGGAGCAGATGCATTTACCTTATGTAAGCTCTGGTGCACCTATGGTATATTGTACAGTAAATACTGTCTAAGATGAACAGAACACCGGTTACCAATAGTATATGTTGTTTTGTTTCATTATTATCACTTTATTAGATCATTTATTGTTTGAATGTCATGACAAATTATAATTTTTAGTATGATGCAAACTCACTAGATATTATGAGCCAGCCAAGTGAGGGTGCAGGGGAGGATGTTTCTGAAGAATCAAAGTGGTGAAAAATTAAACTACAGGGGAGAGACTTACTCATTGTCAGATGCATCTTCAGATCCCCAAACTGTAGCTTATTAAGCCAAAGGAGCTTAAGAGCCTTAATTGACACTGCAACGGCTGGAGAAATGAAACCACATCAAATGACCCTTTTTATAGAAACTCTGAGAGACAATTTCTGTTCCAATATGTTAAAGATCCGATTCATTACAGAGGTGGGCAAACACCCAAACCACTGGGCCTCATCATAATTAACGAAGAGGGTATGGTGGCCAAGCTGGAACGCCTAGCCCCAGTTGGCACCAGTCACCACGTAACGTTGTCCTTCAGATTTAACTGTTACTTGGTTCAGAACAAAACTAGGCCAAGGTTCAAATGTTACAAGGGTAATTATGAGGAGATGAGGGGTATTCACTGGCTTGACTCACTATGATATAAGAACACAAACACTATGCTGAATATCATAGCCAGTAAAGTGAACCATTTGATCGATAAATATTTACCCAAGACCAAGCCCTGCATTTGAGGACAGACAGTTTGTCACAGAGCTGACCCACATTGTGATCTCAGAAGAGGGTATAAGAAATAAAATTGTCAAAGCTAAAGGTTCATAAGAGTCCTGACCCTGCCCTGGTGCATCCCAGAGTGCTAAGAGAGTTGTGCAACGAGCTTGCTGAGCCCCTGGAGATCCTCTTCTGTAAATACCTGGATGAGCAAAAGGTCCCCAGTCATTGGAAAATGACTTAGGCGAGTCCTATCTCCAAGAAGGGCGATCGTCACTCCATGAATAATTATAGACCAGTGAGCCTGACCAGCATTGTGTGTAAAGTACTTCAGAGCATAAAGAGAGATACCATGATGGAACATTTACTATGTAACAACCTTGGAAAGGATTGCCAACACGGTTTTATGCTGGTGCGCTCCTGCTTAACACAATTACTAAAGGTACTGGATGTTTGGACCCAAATTCTAGAACAGGGTGGCAATGTCAACAATATATACCTGTATATCTAAATTTTGCCAAAGCCTTCTACAGTGTATACCATGAAATGTTGAGAATTAAACTGGAAGGATGCGGGATTTGGGGAAGTGTCCTAGCGTGGATCAGAGACTTTCTGCATGATCGCAAGCAGTATGTGGTACCACAGGACAGTGTATTAGGCCTGTCGTTGTTTGTTTCATAAATGACATGCTGGAAGCTCTACTCTCTTCCATACAAATGTTTGTGGACGATGCCAAGTTATTCAGGGAAATTAAGAACCAAACAGACTGTGAAGAGCTGTAGAAAGATCTCCGTGAGCTTCAAGAGTGGTTGAAGAAAAGGCTGTTAAGATTCAATGTCACAAAGTGTAAGAGGATGCACCTAGGTCATACCAATGGTAAGGAGGCTTATCATACTTCCCAACAGGATAAAGAAACTGCATTAATAGAGTCCCAGTGTGAAAAAGACCTGGTTTTGTATGTTAACAACTGATATTTTAGGGCCATTGTGAGAGGGTGAATCAAGCAACTAGACTAGTAGGTCTTAAAAAATGGTAGTTCAGATATCTAGATGGTCAATCCCTCATCACAAACTTCGAGAGTGAAGTGCTTCCCCGCTTGGACTACCGTCACCCCTTCTGGTCCCTGAGATATGGTAGGGACTGTCAGTTGATTGAAAATGTCCAAAGGAGGACCACCAGATAAGTGCGTGCACTCAGGCACCTCAGTTATCCTGAGAGATTAGAGCGCCTGCAACTGCCTGGGTTACACTACAGATGGGCAAGGGGTAACCTAATTGAGGTGTATAAACTCAGTCGGTCCACACCTGGAGCTGACAGACACCTGCCCCACAAGGAGTCACAGCTCAAGGTTGAACAAGTTACAAGTCCAGAAAACTGTGGGGGTAAAATTTTTCAGAGTGAGAATTGTGAACTCTTGGGACAACATGCTAGAGTGTGTTGTGACGGCACCGAGTCCGAGCTCTTTCAAGACAAGACTTTACCAACACTGGAGCATATTCAGGAGCCAGTACATGCCTAGTACTTGCCAGCAGCAAGTGACCGACTGCCCAAGCGGCTAATGAGCTGATCAGTGGCGAAGAGGATAAAAGTAAAAGTACAGTGATATCCCTGTTAGCCAGAACAATTGGTGCAGAGCACTTCCGGGAATGAGAGATTTCCGGGTAACGAGACGACTCTCTCAAAGCCGGAATAAAATCCCTCATCCCCGGTATTTTCCGGGTAACGGAAAAATGTTCTCAGAATTTCCAGAAATTGCCCATTACATTGTCTCTCCAACCCGGAAAAATATCCCTCGTTCCCGGAATTTTCTGGGTAACGGAAAAATTTTCTCGGAATTTCCAGAAAATGCACCTGATTTTCATTTCTCAAACCGGGAAAAAAATCCCCCATCCCCGGAATTTTCCAGGTATTGGGGAAATTTCCTCGGAATTTTCTGGAAAATGTGCCCCTCGGAAAACCGTTCCTAAACCTGGAATTTTTGGGAAAATTCCGGCTTTAGGAACCATTTTTCGAGAAAACTTCAATTCCAGCTGTCGGAGAGTTCTGGGTTTGAGGTATTCCGGCTAACAGAGATATTACTGTATTACTATATTTAAATATAATTCTATACATATTGGTAGCTGTATTTTTTCTTTCAGATATGTAATCTACTCTATATACATACATACCTACACCACACTGAGCTTACATAAGTTAGACACACTAAAGTTATTTTTCTCATGGTACATACTATTAAAAAACAATTACAGGTCCAATATTACCTCTCATAAGTAACTTTTTTAATACTAAGCCTGTCATATAGTGTATTAAGATACTGTCTTTAAATACTGTAAATAATATCTTCTGGTTTGTATTGAAAATAGTAATTTATGAAATGGACATTTCATAAAGTATGCTTTGAGGACATATTAATGTGTTTAACTTATGCTGTGTGTGTTGTTTGACATCATTCTGTAAACAACGTCAAAGATTTTTATGCTTTTATCTCCAAATCTCTGTGTTACATTACCATAATTGAGGTATACAGGTTGTACCTTTCTAGTCCGGCATTCTGTGGTCCGGAACGATTTTAGTTTGTCCAATAGGTAGATGGGCATCTTTTTTTTTTTTTTTAACTTCTCTGAATTATTATTACAGGAGTATTAAATTTTTGCCCCTCAGGCCCCAATGTGGGTTGGTGACCTATGCCCGGGTGGGCTAATCCCCGTAAAAACAAAACAACAAAGCCGCAGGAAATTAAGGTTTGTTTACATCCGGCAGTTCGGCTGCTCTCTCTCTCTCTCTCTCTCTCTGCTTATCTATACAGAGTACAACATTTAACCCTTCAATATATATG